CATCTTTTAGTAGGTACCTACAGAATTGCAAAGTTAAAACTGGTTACATTGCTTGAAACACAAATACTTTGATATAATTTCCAGCTGCAGTGCAGCTAATTAAATTGAACCAAATGGTTATTATTTCAAATTGTTGTAGCCAGAGCATAAAACAAACTATTTTGACAATCAGAAACATAGCTTAGAAGTGGGCCATAGTTAGGCCTACTTGTTAAAATAAAAGATATGACAATTTAACCTACCTACTCTGAAGTAGGAAGGCATGTAAGCCTTATGTAGACAACCTTCCAAAATAAACATTAAGGATAAAGATATTAACTTATTTTAAATTTCCTGACCCAGAAGGAGAGGAAGGTATGTGTAATGTAGAGATTATAAGTAAATTGTTCTCTATCAACATCAAAGGGAAGATCAAATTACTTTATATCTAGGGATAAGCCTAATTTAAGTTTGTGGCTGACTGATGAGGAATGTGATTAAAAATAGATTGGAAGTTAAAATAAGGACAATAGTTACAAATGCATACTTGAACAAACAATTAAAAAAATACATGTTGAAATAAAACTGTCCAAAATAACCTTATAAACTCACCAACCTAATAACTAATCAAACTTGGAGTAACATTTCAAAATTATTGTTGGATAAAGATTAACTACTGTACCTATTTAATTTTTTTCATATTTGCTTATTTTTGTTGAACAGATTGCAAATTAAATAAAATATTAAAAAAATCCGTTTGATATTAATTCCCCACAATCAATATATTATTTTTGCCTAAACAAGATATTATCAATTCGTAATTTAAATGTGTTTGAAGACACTACAAGCTTTAGTTTAATAGAGGGAATATGGATAGTAAACAAAAATATCGATGGATCGAAACAAGATTGTCGATCATTTTATGTATCTTTCAGCAATTAACTGTAGGAAGGATTTATCCTTGCTTATAATTTGACATAACATCAATTAATTAAAGAAATCTATAAAATAAACATATCGATAAGCAAAATAATTACAGAAATATCGTTAACTCAGACAGCATTCAATGATTCAATTTATTAGGCTAGTCTAAGTCCTGTACCCAGCTGACAGTGAGTACAGGCAGACGACGCGACGGGGCACACTCGAGAGGTGACGTCATAAAACTAGGGGTGGAAGGGCACCCACCATTTCCCCCACCACCGACAAATTTCCAAGGCACCGTTGAACACATAGCGACTCCTTACTAGCCAATGGTTAACTGTGACACCATGTGCATCTGATCATACGGATTTGTCCCCGGATCAATTCAGAGATGCTTTGTCAATTCGCTATGGCCGCTCACTAAGAAATTTATTAGTACTATGTGATGACTGTGATCTACCTATGAATCTTACCCATGCTTTAAATTTAAAAAAAGGAGGATTGATCAAACATGGGCATGATCAACATCGAGACCACTGTGCTGCGATAGCAAATATGGACTGGAATGGGGTTGATGTCGAGCCTATTATGAGAGAAGCTGATCCCGCAAACAATGTGCCTGCTTTAAAAGCTGACTTTAAAGTTAATGGTATTTGGGAGGCTGAAAGAAGCGTTTTTTGATAATCGCATTGTTAATGCTGACGCTCCCTCTTACGCCAACCAAGAATGGGGAACAATATCTTGAAACCATGCCATTCAGAAACACAATAAATATGACAAAGCACCCGAAGACATCAGAGGAAGCTTCACACCATTAATATGTTCCACGGAGGGAGTCCCCCACAAAGAATATGAAAGCGTTTCAGAGGAGAACAAGCGAGGCCCTTGCTGTAAAATGGAGAAAACCATACTCCCAAATGATTCAATGGTTAAGGGTCCAAAGCCAGCTTTCCATCATCCGAGCAGTTTGCTTAGGCTTCGAGGAATAACACATCAAATTTGAAGCATTCAGTTTAAAGATGGTGCCGCGATGCCCCCATTGCTCTATTGAGCCTTCATTTTATTATTTTATACATATAATTTGTCTTAGCAATATTAATTGATTTGTATTAGGGAATTATCAATAAAAATTGTGGTTTGTCTTTCTCATACGCTCTTTACTGCCTCATTGTGTGCCTGTTCTTTTCTTAATTTTTCATCAGGGACCAGTCGCATTGTCCACAGTGATTCTGGGCAAAGTTCTTTAATTGGCCCTTTGCAATGTCTAGGACCCCATGAGGCTTCAACATCAATTCCATTTGCCTCTTCCACCTACGCCAGGACTGAGACCCATCAAGCTTTGATATTTGTACTTTTACATCCATTTCAGATTATTTTCAGAGTTTACACAAAATTAAACGTACCTGGGCATCATGACCTTTTATTAGGAAAGAAAATATAATAGATTAATTGATTTTAAGCTTTCAATAAAATTTTTCATGATAAAACAAACATACACGTCATGATTTAATTAATTATAAACCATGTGATTGTAAACAGATAGTGAGCAAGTTAGTTTCTTTCAATAGAAATAACTATTTCCAACTATCACAAAAACAACAATGGTTTTGACAACAATGTTAAATCAGGACACAACCTTTATCTTTTGCACAAGCATATGCAGTGAAACGTGAGGGATTAAATAAATATTTATTTAGTTTCAGATTTAGACATCTCCGATCTCCAGCGAAACAATGAGGCTAGAAATCTCAAATTGATAAACAATGTTTGCTAACATATGTAAGTTAAGATATCATAACGAGGCTGTGGGAACAGTCTGATTCTGCAATACCTTCAAATGTTTTAAACAGTAAGCAATATTAGCGAATCTGACTTTGGTGTGAAGGGACGGATTTTATTCCTGGCAGATCTATTATAATTTAAAGGCGCTTGGACAGCTATTTCTAAAAAAAAAATTCTCTATTAAGCTTTTTAATTAAAAAGTGACACTGAAATTGAAATCAGTGCGTATAATGGTTTCTACCTTGCAATAAAGTGTGAAATGATTCTTTTTCATGACTTTAGTGCCAATGCAAGATTTGATAGGTGTTTCCATTAAAATTTACCAACAAAATGTGCTACTCCTTTTTCCTTATAATCAGGCCCTGACTGGGACCATTCGAGGCCCTCAGCTAAATCCAGTAAAGGGAGAGTATTTTATTATTATTTATTTTTTTATTTTTTGTAGCTGATTGGGTGCTTAAAACGAGTTTTTGAAATATTTGGGCTTTTTATAAAGAAGAACAAATTCAGTTAGGTGTTAATACAAATATTATGATTTTTAAACTTGAGTTATCGCACTAACGGACATAAACATATATATATACTAGGAGTACAATGCAGTTGTCTGCTTGCAATATTGAGCGGAGCTAGCATATTAGTCCAATGCCGTACTTTTCTAAAGTCAATGCTACATCTGTTCCTTGTAAATGAGATTAAATAGTTGCAGTACATATCCAATGTCAATGGTATATTTGGTTCACATTAATGGAGTGTCTATTTGCAGTATTCAAAGTCAATTATAAGTCTGGTTCACGTAAATGAATTGTCTAGTTTGAGGAACCAAAGTCTATGTTTCATCTGATTCTCATATATTAAATGTCTACTTACAGTATCCAATGTGCAATGTCAATATGTTACATTTAGTTGCAATCTGCCACACTGGAAAATCATATATATATATATATATATATATATATATATATATGAATTTGAACGGAGGGTGTTTTTGGCCTCTGGGGACCTCAAAACGAAAAATTAAATCGGTTTTGGGTCTAGGTCTTATCATGAGACCTACGATAATAGCTTATTCCCTATATGGGAAATTCGCTAATATTCCCTATATGGTGGTATTCGCTCGAGGACATAACCAATCTAGACCTGCTCATAATCATTGGTAAATTTAGAGGGTACCGGTAGCTAAAGGAGGTTTTTAACAAAAGAGTGTTGGGGTTGCAAATGTGGCTATCCCTTGAATTCATATAAGAGGTTGCTCATGGAACCCAAAGGTTGAAGGTTGAATAAAAATGCAAGTTTGCCTTGAAGTAATTGACGGTAAAAGAACAAATTAAAGTGATACACTAAAAGAGCCGCAAACTGCTGTCATATGTTGCCAAACATCTGAACCCATTACAGCTCATAGGGTTTATACTGTCCTTTATTCATCATAATAAATAGATATTGCAAAACAATTTTATTGATCACTCGACTTTAGATAAGGTAGGCTACTCAAGTTGAAAAAACATTGACTACTAAAAAAGTACTACCATCAGGTCACTGTCTGCCAAAAGCGACCTTTGACCTGACTGACAAATAACAGAGAGGATCTTATCTTATCACTGTTACATAATTGCATTGACTATTTAATTGATTGGTCTAGCAGGAACTTGGAAATTGGTGGTTAGTCATATGGAGCTTTTTTACTCACCTACCCTTTCAATCAAGTTATAAGACTGTTTAAGAATAAGAATAGTATTTGTCAAAAATGTTTCTAAATTTAAAAAAATATTAAAATTGTGCTTGAAGTATTGTGGATGTTTCCTATCACTATTATACAGTAGAACCTTGATAACAAGACTCTCATGGGGATTATTAAATCAGACTTGTTACCAAGGTTGACTTCTTATTGAGGTTTTTCATAACATATGATAAGGGGTAAAATAAAATCAAGGGGATTTGAAAATTACCCTTGTTATCAAGGGTGACTTGTTATCGAGGGTCTTCTTATCAAGGTTCTACTGTATATGAAGTATTTTTGTCATTATGTTTTTTGTTGTTGTGGTTGCTTGACAGTAAAAAGGTTGCTACAATTCTGAGACAAGTCGATCAGTAGCTTTTAATTGTTTGAAACTGAAATTTAGTTATCATTGGTCTTTTAATAAATGGTCCTGTAGGGCTATAGGGCTAAAGAAATAATAATATTAATCACTAATTAGATACACAGAAATTACTCACAGAGATTACAGTATAAGGAAAAAACCAACTATTTCCAAAATGTAATAATTTTATTTACATGTTTACATGTTTGTTACATGTGTGTATTACATAATTAAATTACTATCAGATTAAAGTGTAGTTCAATTATCGCAAACAGGTACTTGTATATTTAACTAACGTTAACATACAAAAATATTCTTATTCATAACCAGTCATTTAAATAAAAATAAACTATTTAAAATCATTTAAATTGTATGAAAACCAATTTTAAAAACCAAAAAAGTATTGGTAACACTAACAGCAAATAAACACTAATATTCTACAATTTTAAAAACCATTTTAATTTGTTAATCTGGTGTTATTTCATATAGTTTAGTATATCTTTTATGAAAAGAACTAGAACATAACAAAATTAAATTTGAAATTAAAATAGATCCATAAAGTTATGGAAAGAATTTTAACTGCTGTATTTGGCAGAGATAAACCCTAGACTATTAACAGAGATCATAAATTTGTTTTAACTAGTAATATTTACTTGAACACTTTACGTTCTATCATATGCGATTATTATTCTTTCCGGGTTCAAGTTTTTCTTCACAACAGCGTTGACCAGCTCCCGCAGTTTCTCCTTCAACTTGATCCTTCTCTCCATCGACAGTTCGCCCAGGTTGACGGAGTACATGTTGTCACTAGGTATCGATAGTTTTGTAGGGCTGGCAGGCTTAGAAGATTTGGGTGGTTCTGCCTTATTCAAGGGCGGTGGAGAAGGTATCACTGCCGGTTTTGGGAGAAGGAGTAAAAATTGTTGCTTCCTCATTTCGCCTCCGGCAGGACTTGGGTCGAGAGGGCAAGGAGTAGTGACTACAGACGTCGTTGTCATCAAAGTAGTCCCTGCGGAGGACGATGTGAGGTTGGGTGATGTTAGAAGAGCCGAGGGGGTGACTAGAGAATGGGACGTGACCAACGGGGCAACAATAGTCGATGGTGTCGTTGCCACCGATGATGACACATGAGGACTCTGCGAAGCAAATGAGAGGATGGGAATGGAAGCTGTAAGAACTCCCTCGGGTGCTGAGGTTGTTGCTGGTGAGTTTTGAGTTTTCAAGGGAATGACAGGAAATGAAGGGCTGATCAAACATTGAGGTACTATGGGCCTTAGAGGTGGTGGTGGCTTTTTGAACCCATTGATGGGTGATTCTTTTGATTTTGTCAAAGTCCCTTCCTTCTTTTTCTTCTGGTATTCTGACATTTCTGAAAAAGAAATAGCTATATTTAATTGCTATACATAACCGTATAAGTTTAACAAATCAACATCAAGTTGTATTATGGTTTGATACAAATCGTATTCATACTATTTACAGATTCTTAAAGGCAATAGAGATGATTCAAGTTTTATCTGGTGGTTTTGGCGATACCGTGACCGTTCCTGCGATCGCCGTAATATTTGTTCCCATATCTTGCTGAGACAGCGAAACCATGATCGTTTCCAACTATCAATCAAATAAAATTTTTACACTTGAACTTCAAGACCCCTGACATAAAGAACCAGCCAAACTTTTCAACCAAACAAACAGATAACTAATGAGAACGCTCAAGTCACAAAGGCTTACATCTAAACGTATGTAAGCTCAGCTGTGAGAAAAACATTTTGATATTGGCTTCCTGAAAGGGGCCGGATAAACAGAGGACCGGCAAAACCAAGGCTGGATATCAGGGGTTCTACTGTAGTGTATTTCTTAAATAGCAAGAGTTTACGAACATGTTTATGTAATAAAAGTTATTATTGACAACAAACAATAATGAGTAACGCTTTATTTTAAAACATCTGTTTTTTTTTAACCGTTTATATATTTTTTACACTAACCTCCAAACGGGTGCAGTTTCTGGATATGAATCTCCAAATTCTTTTTACGGCTGAGTCTTCTATCACAGATTGGGCACTGGTACTTTGTTGTCAGTTCATTGCCGGTTCTCCTTCTTATAACTTTGCTGTTCATTAATTTTTGGAATGATTTTGAGATGACCAAATACTTGCTATCAGCATTTTTTTTGGTAGAGTCTTCCAGGCAGGATACTTCACCATCCTGGATGGGACTGGAGCATCTTTCATCTGCTAGAGGATTCATATCCACCACTGATGAATTTGGAGCCGTGGAAATCTAAAAACATTGTTTTGTGGTAGAATCCAGCTTAGAGCGCAGTTAAAATGAGTACCGTAGGTTAAAATTGAGTTTGTAAAATAATTAATCTAGAAGATAAAGGCAAATATCAAGCCTTTTGCCCAGGAAAAATATAAATGGGATTTAATCAATATGATCTAGCAGTTAAATAAAATGAAATGAAATGAAATGAAAATTCTTCTTTATTGAGGCGAACTTAGGACCTCATGGTCCTTTCTTACAGTTAACCTCTAAATAATAATAGTAATAACAATAATACATGATATGAACAAAAGTAAAATACACATTTCGTAACATAATTAATAATAAACAACATAACATACATTTCTTTTCCTAGCATACAGTCACACACACATAAACTCTTTGCAGCCGCTTAGCCTAACGCACGCGATCCCGCCACGCCACTACCATCCGGTTGAGATAATATTCTTTCAGTGTTGCCTTCAGTCGGGATCGGTTTTCTATGGATTTAATGGCATCGGGTATAGAGTTCCATAGACAGCATGCTGTGACTACAAATGATTTATTATAAATAGTTGTTCTGTGACGAGGAATGCGCAACGTAGACGAGCCAGAGCGAGTATCCCTTGCACCTCTTTCATTCAAAAATTCAAAATTCTTTGCAATGAAATTTGGAATTCCAAGATTGATAGCCGAATGAGTGATTGAAAGTATTCGGAGTTTTCTGAGGTCATCTAATTTCAAAATTGATTCATTCATGTAATAAGGTGTGACGTGGTCGTCCTGCCTAAGGTCAAACAGAAATCTAATACAATAATTTTGTGTCCGTTGTAGTTTTGTTGCCAAAGCCACAGTCATATCATTAACCACAGTGTTGCAGTAATTGAAGTGTGGAAACACAAGTGATTTGACCAGTAAGTGTTTAATGAGAAAAGGAAGGAGTCGTTGCATCTTCTTCATTGTGTGAATGGCGGCAAATACTCTTTTACAAGTATCTACCACCGCGTCAGTCCAGTCTAATGTGCGGTTCATCAGCAATCCAAGACTTTTGATTTTGTTTTGATATTGCAAAGTAATTCCATTTAGTGAGTTTTGGTAAATTGTCTTCTTCAAGTTTGTTTAGTAACCGTGAGTGACCTATAATGATTGGTTTTGTTTTGTAAGGATTGAGTCTAAGTCCATTCTGTGCTGCCCATTGAACAATGTTGTCAATGTCGTGAGGGATACTTGTCGTTAAGGGATACTTGTTATAGAGGTTGGTCCTATACAGTAGTAACAAAGCTACACAAGGTATCTAACTCCAGTCTAAAATATATATTTAATTTATACTTGAGCTAAAATATGCATAGTTCATCTTAAAAATTGTTAATAATGTGTTGATAGTACACTTACAAGAGCTGTCCATAAATTAATATGTACTTAATTCAAGTGCTACTCCTAGACATTCATGATTTCGCTGCGGTATTGGAAGACGAAGATAATGTCCTTGCAAAAGTGGAAGTTGTTCAGAATTTTGCCACAAGTGTAATAGACAGTAATGTCCTTGCGATGGCGCAAGATGTTCATTATCTCACCGTAGTCATATAATACGTTCGCAGAAGATCTCCCACAATTTTATTTATCTTAATTAATTTAATTTTTCGGAAGACACCCACGATTTTACCTTCACCGACACCACCCAACTATGAATTTGTTGTGACCAAAGGACGACTTAGTTAATTTTCTATTCAGTTTCGTGTTGACGATATCGCCCCAATCACGAGATAATGTGATAATGTTGATAATGTGGTCCCCGAGTTCACATGAGATGTTAACGATTTTGTCTTAAAGGCAGGAGACGTAGAATACATCCCCGCAACTGCGAAAGGTTTTGCTATTTCAACGTGTATCTAGGAAGATAACCACTATTTCTTTGAGACGAAGATGATGGCCCTTGAATCACAGATGACGCTCACGATTTCGTAGTTTTGAGGACAATATCAGTCCTTTTTGCCGCTATTGCAGAAATTGTTTGAACCATTTATAGTACTAAGCATAATATATAATAGAAAGATAATATAATAATACTGTCTTTTATACAAATTTATTATCTCCTAAATTTAAAAAATATTAAACGGAGTGACAGTAAAAAACCTTATTTGTGTTACTTCTTGGAGTGCTCCAGTGCTCGTGCTCATTATGAATCTCCAACTCATAAAAACATAAACTGTTAAAAGCTTAAAGGAAAATTTAATTTAGCAGCATTAAATTTTTCTTAAATAAAAAATAAATTACATTTAAAATAGTTGAAGTAGCCTACATTAAGCTCATTTATTCAGTCATACAAAATACATTTTTTAATAAATACGTGAAATAATAAGTACGATAGTACCCTGATGATTTTAAACAGGGTGCTTTGGTATTTATTAAATTCACATATATATTTATATATACATATACATAGCCTAGAGGGACCCCTCATCTAGACCTCCCCAGGCCCCCCAACTATGACAGTACGCCACTGCAAGAGGTTTCAATAAAGGTTGATAAGTAGCAAAAGTTTTGATTTCCCCTGGACAATTAGCTTTCGCACACATGGTGGGAACCAGCTAGAATAGTAGTGGATGAACTCTATACCAGTGTTGATCTCAGATTTGAGCTTGCTTGTCCAACCTTAATTTATGGACAGCCTACATACAACTGTTAAAAACTCTGTGTTTGGTAATTACATTTAGATATTAATACTTACATCATCTTCTTCAATATCTTCATAGATTACGTTATTGGAATCCTGAAAACAATTTACACTATGAGTCTTAAATAAATTTATTTAAAGGCTAGTTATTTTAACTTGTGTTTTTAACAAATGACTTGCATTGTAGTATAAAAATGGCTATGTGTTTAATAGTCCCAGCAATATAGTTTTAATGAATTAGTGGCAATGCTCGTCACAGTGTTTCAAAAATCAAATACTTAAAACCTCACTAACTCGAAACCCGGTAACTTGACAGTCAACAGCTGACAGGGCGCACGCAAAAGCATTTTCTTTTCAGAACATCATTAGTTTTAATTGTTGAATATTCAAAATTTTGTTGAAGGTTGTTTACTTAATTTGTAAAAATGCTCATGTGGGTGTTAAATTTATATGTAAAAATTAGTCTGTATTTATTCATTTATTAAAACCCTTTTTAGGCTTACCTCGGTCAGTAGGCCTGGTCCCGTGTCGTGTGTATATACTGTATGTGTAAATTATTTTAATGTTTTTGACGTAAAAGCTCCGACAATGATGCATTTGCAACGAACATGTCAGCTTTGAACATTATTTGAAGTTAGACGTAATTTTGGACTACTGATGGAGGTATAGTAAGTCTATAGTCATTTATACGTAGTCCAGGGGCTATCAGAATGAATAATATATATTAAAACCCAGTAAAAATGTTAATGTTCTAGATAACTTGACAATCTCTGGGTCCACAAATTGTGGAGTGTGTGTGGTTTCACTGGAGACAGATATATTAATGGCTAAGTAAAGTATATGTTCAGTAAGTAAAGAAAGCCAATCAAACGAACCTCATTATCATTGAATGTAGAATCACAGTAAATGGTTTGAAACTGGAGACAGATATACTAATGGCTAAGTAAAGTATATGTTCAGTAAGTAAAGAAAGCCAATCAAACGAACCTCATTATCATTGAATGTAGAATCACAGTAAATGGTTTGAAACTGGAGACAGATATACTAATGGCTAAGTAAAGTATATGTTCAGTAAGTAAAGAAAGCCAATCAAACGAACCTCATTATCATTGAATGTAGAATCACAGTAGATGGTTTCAAACTGGAGACAGATATACTAATGGCTAAGTAAAGTATATGTTCAGTAAGTAAAGAAAGCCAATCAAACGAACCTCATTATCATTGAATGTAGAATCACAGTAAATGGTTTGAAACTGGAGACAGATATACTAATGGCTAAGTAAAGTATATGTTCAGTAAGTAAAGAAAGCCAATCAAACGAACCTCATTATCATTGAATGTAGAATCACAGTAGATGGTTTCAAACTGGAGACAGATATACTAATGGCTAAGTAAAGTATATGTTCAGTAAGTAAAGAAAGCCAATCAAACGAACCTCATTATCATTGAATGTAGAATCACAGTAGATGGTTTCAAACTGGAGACAGATATACTAATGGCTAAGTAAAGTATATGTTCAGTAAGTAAAGAAAGCCAATCAAACGAACCTCATTATCATTGAATGTAGAATCACAGTAGATGGTTTCAAACTGGAGACAGATATACTAATGGCTAAGTAAAGTATATGTTCAGTAAGTAAAGAAAGCCAATCAAACGAACCTCATTATCATTGAATGTAGAATCACAGTAAATGGTTTGAAACTGGAGACAGATATACTAATGGCTAAGTAAAGTATATGTTCAGTAAGTAAAGAAAGCCAATCAAACGAACCTCATTATCATTGAATGTAGAATCACAGTAGATGGTTTCAAACTGGAGACAGATATACTAATGGCTAAGTAAAGTATATGTTCAGTAAGTAAAGAAAGCCAATCAAACGAACCTCATTATCATTGAATGTTGAATCACAGTAAATGGTTTCAAACTGGAGACAGATATATTAATGGCTAAGTAAAGTATATGTTCAGTAAGTAAAGAAAGCCAATCAAACGAACCTCATTATCATTGAATGTAGAATCACAGTAGATGGTTTCAAACTGGAGACAGATATACTAATGGCTAAGTAAAGTATATGTTCAGTAAGTAAAGAAAGCCAATCAAACGAACCTCATTATCATTGAATGTAGAATCACAGTAGATGGTTTCAAACTGGAGACAGATATATTAATGGCTAAGTAAAGTATATGTTCAGTAAGTAAAGAAAGCCAATCAAACGAACCTCATTATCATTGAATGTTGAATCACAGTAGATGGTTTGAAACTGGAGACAGATATACTAATGGCTAAGTAAAGTATATGTTCAGTAAGTAAAGAAAGCCAATCAAACGAACCTCATTATCATTGAATGTAGAATCACAGTAGATGGTTTCAAACTGGAGACAGATATACTAATGGCTAAGTAAAGTATATGTTCAGTAAGTAAAGAAAGCCAATCAAACGAACCTCATTATCATTGAATGTAGAATCACAGTAGATGGTTTCAAACTGGAGACAGATATACTAATGGCTAAGTAAAGTATATGTTCAGTAAGTAAAGAAAGCCAATCAAACGAACCTCATTATCATTGAATGTAGAATCACAGTAGATGGTTTCAAACTGGAGACAGATATACTAATGGCTAAGTAAAGTATATGTTCAGTAAGTAAAGAAAGCCAATCAAACGAACCTCATTATCATTGAATGTTGAATCACAGTAGATGGTTTGAAACTGGAGACAGATATACTAATGGCTAAGTAAAGTATATGTTCAGTAAGTAAAGAAAGCCAATCAAACGAACCTCATTATCATTGAATGTAGAATCACAGTAGATGGTTTCAAACTGGAGACAGATATACTAATGGCTAAGTAAAGTATATGTTCAGTAAGTAAAGAAAGCCAATCAAACGAACCTCATTATCATTGAATGTAGAATCACAGTAGATGGTTTCAAACTGGAGACAGATATACTAATGGCTAAGTAAAGTATATGTTCAGTAAGTAAAGAAAGCCAATCAAACGAACCTCATTATCATTGAATGTAGAATCACAGTAGATGGTTTCAAACTGGAGACAGATATACTAATGGCTAAGTAAAGTATATGTTCAGTAAGTAAAGAAAGCCAATCAAACGAACCTCATTATCATTGAATGTTGAATCACAGTAGATGGTTTGAAACTGGAGACAGATATACTAATGGCTAAGTAAAGTATATGTTCAGTAAGTAAAGAAAGCCAATCAAACGAACCTCATTATCATTGAATGTAGAATCACAGTAGATGGTTTCAAACTGGAGACAGATATACTAATGGCTAAGTAAAGTATATGTTCAGTAAGTAAAGAAAGCCAATCAAACGAACCTCATTATCATTGAATGTAGAATCACAGTAGATGGTTTCAAACTGCTCCCCGTTTGAAGTATCTCTTGGTACCATATCCTCTTCACATCCTTCAACCATATCCTACAAATTAAATAAATTTGCAGTTACAATAATCAAAAACTGTATTGTTATTGCATAGTTTATTAATTATTTTTTAGCTCATTTTCTGCGGTTTGGTAACAGCAAGATGCATATAAAATGAGAGTACCAAATAACCATATGTGTGCAGGTTAATATTTTAATCCAACAACCAAAGTACTGAAATAGCTGTTCTGATTATGATTATGGATGTGACTGGGACGGTGGCATCGTCCTGTAATCCAGCTACTAGGAGGTCACAAATTGTGGATATTTATAGATTCACTGTGGATGCGATACTCCCTGGTGTGGATTAATGTCCACACTAGTGGGCACTATGACTATCCGCAGTACTATCCTGATAATTAGACCAATTTGTTAATACCAAGGCAAGAATGTGGTTCGGATTCCACTATAAACTGTATGTCCCTTAATAACAATCAACTGTCAGCTGAGAACTACTCAAATCATGTGGAAACTCTACCTACACCATGGCGAATTGGCAGAGGAAGCAGTTTGGCCAACTTAAATCTTATAAAACTTAAAATTCCCTCAGGGTGGCAACTACTGTAGCAGTGCCAATAATTGTCAGGTTTCCTCTTTAAAGTGTAAAGTTGTTGTTTTTCCAATTCCATGATGGACTCTTTCCTCATTTGGTAAACTTTATACCAAAACAAAAATCATTAAAAACCTAAGCCCGTTGTTCTTTATATTAAAAAATTTACCAGATATACGAGTCTTAATAGATCATAGATTGGTTTTGATAGCATGCAAACCTAAGTACCAACATTCAAATATTTATTTGAAACTTACAATTTCTGGCTCTAAAGCTTCACGTTTAACAAATATCGATGCACTCTCATCTGGTTCTGAACAATCCATAGACTCCTGTAAAACCACACACCATTAGTGTTGCCTCTCCATCACATGTTAATTAAATAATACCCCCGTTGCAGCAAACCCAAGTAACAAAAACTGTTGACAAATTGTTGGCCCTACGTTTCCGCCCATGGTTGGCCAACAGTATGTTTTGGCAATAAGTTTTACGGTTGGCCAACCAACCTATTTTTAACATAGGACCAACTATATAAATATATTTCAATATTCAAAATTTGAATTTATTTAAAACCCTCTTGAAACTGAGATTCAGGAGAGTGTTTACATGGCTCCTGTTGAAAGAAAATATGATGAATTTTATTGTACATTTAAGCATTTTTTTTACATTCCGTTTCCCAAAATTACTGTAACTGAAAGAAACGCAAACAAAATTGGATCTCAGAAGACCTGAAAAATGAAAAAAAGAACTACTACGATTGGCCTTGACGAACAAATTTACTACGAACAAAAATCCTGCCTTGAAATACGAGTTGAAACAAAACAAACTGAAATACAGGGCAAAATTAGTCAGAGCTAAAAAAAATTTTGCGTTCACGGCCCAGTACCTCCCGTGACCCGTCGGTGATGACAGGGAAATCAGTTTTTCCGCAATCGCGGCAAAATCCTAGATATGTATCTCTCTCTGAAAAGAAACGTCATTATCGTATCCCGCAATTACGGCAAAATATTGAACATCACCTGCGGCCTCGGAGACATCGTCATTGTCACCCGTGGGGGAATGTTCTCGTCGATATCCGCGATTGCGGCAAAAGCGTATGCCTAACATTTCAATTTTGTGAGCGTGATCCTCGCGGACATAAAACCTTTTAATTTTAATTGGGCATTATTGTATTTAGTACTGAAAAAATCGGCTCGAGCTTGATTTTCTGACTTTGTGCTTGATCTCTCAAGCTTGTAGGCCAGGGCTCTGCTCGGCTGAAAAGTGATATGATATTATACCGTTAATATTATAAAAATCAACCCGTTTTCAAAGCAAACCGATTTTGAAACGATCTGATTAGGCCTGAGACTTATAGGAAAGTAACTTTTTTTACCTGAGTCGAAGTAAACAAATATAAAGGTCAGCCTCCTAATATTAAGAAAAGAAATGAAATGCAAATCCTTCTTTAGCATCAATGAAAGAATGAAATTATTTATTAGCTAGTTCCCTAGCCACCTAGGTTAATTTGCCGATTTGGTCATACAAAAATTTTAAAGTTCATTTAGTTGAATCAGCATAGAGGGCCCTCTCTGGTGTGAGCTGCCGGGGGCTAGGAGGATTTATTTAATGGTTCATTTAATGGTTTATCCTCCTAGGCTGGATGCCACATTGGTTATAAATACGGCCTTATTATAGCACCTTCACACAGTCCACGAGGACCGTTGATGCAACCTCCATGACTGTTGACAATTCTTTTTAGGTTGGTAGAGAATTTATATCGATCGGTCAAGTAATAGTGTCAGTTGTTGTAAACGTTAAACTACTTGTCCTCGTGCTCTGCTTGCTGGGTTGAACAAATTTTCGTCATAAAAAAATTCTCATATAAATATTATTATGCTAGGGGACCCGTGTCGCTGAGCCTGTCGCACAATCACGGGCCCGTGTGCCGGTAAAATTTACCGAAAATCCTGGTCAAGGCTCACGGGCCCGCGGGCCAGCTATCGCCGTCACTGGATTCTGGTTCTGATTTACTTCCTCCTTTTGGTGTCTAAAATTCATATATACAGTATTTCTAGTAGTCATAGGGGTAATTTCTAGTTAGGTACAGTTAGAATAAGTTACCTTCTAAATTTTTTATGATACAATCTGGGGAGAAAATCCTTGCTTACCTCATTATTATCATAATTGCTCCCACCATGGGCGCTGTCTTCATCATTGGTGCTGTGTCTCCTAAACATAGAAAAAGAAACTTGTTATAAAATGTTAACATCAAAACAAAGTAATCTAGCCAAAGCATATCTAAAAATAGAGATAATTTTTGGATTTTTAGTACATTCATCTTAATACATAGAATTATCTATATGCGGTAATACAATTAGTATAAATGTTATACACTACTTTTAATTTCATCAACTTTATTTCAATATGTGATCAAATAGTTAAATACCCCCGCCGCAGCAAACCTGCAGACTAAGTGATTTTCCATTTGCCTGATTGGATTTACGGTGTCTGGAAAGATGGGGACAAGGAAAGTAAAGGTAACTAAACCACTATTATTTTATATGGGACAAGGAAACTTAGGGACACAGAAACTTAGGGATAAGGGTTGTGAGCCGAGTGGGATCGACTAGTTCCCATATTGTAGTTTTACCTATGTCTAAATATACTTGACTATTTCCAAAGCAATAGCTTCAACTTCATGTAGATGTTATAGCCTCCGATTACGATAGTGAAAACTGGTGAATTTCTCTAGTTTTTATTAGAACAATTACACAATATGCCTTATTGTTAGTTCAATAAAGAACCATGAAACCTATTACTGGGAAAGGTGAACAAAATATATGTTGTAAAATGTAGTCGTAAGCATCTAGTAAAATGTATTCGACTTATTGTTTAATCTAAGCAACACCACATTCAAGTTGATACAGTCAGAACTTGGAAAATTAAAGGAAATATGAGTAAACAGCATACAGGGATGTCCCGTTAATCCCCTCGCACGTTAGGCCTACTCCGAATTGATATCGTGTTTTTGGTGGGTTACCCAGACTTCTCGCAGAAGGCCAGAAAGGTAAAAGGAATTCACAGCCATGTTTACACTTCATAACCAATTTCCGCCCTTTATCCTCACTCATTGCATTAGGGCCATAGCCTTCAGTCATCTGGCGATGAATTTCGGCATCGGATATGTTTCTTTGTAATCAAAAAGTGTATCACAAACCATAGCTTGCACAAGGCGGCAGATTCGATCAATAGTTTAAAAATTTTTATAAACACACAGCGAAGCGTACATGATAGCTACAGAGCTGAAAATTGCTTCATTCCGTTCAAAATTATGCCAGTGAGTCGTGAGAAGCCATGTTGCGGCGTACAAGTGAACTACAGACTCATTCGCAAAAACAGCCCTTACTTAAAAAAATAACCATGTACGAGTAACACAAAGTGCACTTGTTATAAACTTACTCCACAACCATATCCGCAATGTTGCCTGTGTTGTCCAATGTGACCCACGACTTGATGGCTTCCCCGTGCAGGAACAAGGAAGGAACCGCTTCTGGGAGGAGTTTCTTGGCTTCAGAGTCTTTGTCCCACATATCTTCCTCAAAATGAACCTAGGTTTCAAAATATAAAGTGAGAAATCAATGAAAATATTGAATTTTGTTAGCAATATATCATATTTTCTCCAAATAAATGTAAAAATCTTTCAACAAACTTTAAGAACTTTTTCCCTTGAAGAAGAACAATATACGGTCAAAATATCAGTGTTTCATTTTGTGACCGCTTATTGTGCATACCGTATTTGCCTCTCTAGATCCTGATTTTGTTGGGGAAAATAGTTGAACCTCATTTTTTCATTTTCTAGTCTTGTGGCATGTTTGAAAGAGGTAACTCAAACAAATTTTAGGCAAAGTAGATCACCCTTCTCTGTTAGATGCTGTAACATATTGTTAATAAACCTGTAAGGGAGCATGTTGGAACTAGGTTCATATTTTGCTTTTGAAATATATTTTATTTATGTGATCTAACTACACCATTAGCATTTTTAAAGGTTTTTGAAATGGAACAATACTAAAGCCCCCCCCCTCCCCATAGGCATACCCAGAGAAGGGGGAGCCGCTGCCCTCCCCCACCCCTAGAAGCCAGGATAAGGTATAAAAATTGAGATCCAGGATAAATGTTATTAGTATGAGAAAAGATGAGTAAGATAGTTTATAGATTTTTTATGAAATTTTTTGACACGTTATCAATTTTTCATTAGGTAGTTTCTGAGTTAATCTTAAATAAAAAAAAAATTCCAACAGTAGTAATAAAACAGACCAATTTCTTGCAATCTATAAACTAACAAATTTGTGTAGTATGATATAAACCTATTTTTATGACATTATTTTGTTTTCATTTGCCTTCAACAATAATTTAAAGAACAAAATTGCTCTTAAGGCATAAGTTATCAGGTATTCTTCAAAATAGTTTACCATATATTTCTGGTGTTGTGTTATAAATGGATGAGAAAAGTTGGCATGGACACAAAAAGTACTGTTAAATGTGTATTGTAAAGCTAAGCAACCTGACCTGACCTCATTGACGGACGTAAAGCCACTTTATAAATGCTGGATTATAGAGCTAGGTTTATTATATTAATGTCTCAAAATAGCGTAAAAAACGCTAATTTAAGCATGTTGTTTTTTAACATTTTCCCGGGAGGGAACCCCTGGACCCCCCTCCGAACTGGCCCCCCGGTGGGTTACCCCCAGCGACCCCTGTTTCAAGTACGCTCTTGCCCCCCCCCCCTCCCCTATTTTTGATCCTGGGTACGCCCTTGCCCCCCCCCCCCATACACATCCAACATGTTGGCAGAGGCAGACATGTCTGCTGACTCATCTGACTCAGATTGCGGACCGTGTATGGGTAAAAAAAGACTGCTGGATCCGCAGACAAGTCTGCGGTCGGTCGAAGATTCACTGCAGTGGTTTTGTGGACGTCATACACTAAACACGCTTCAAAATGTGTGGTGATAACAAAAGGTTTTGGGGGGGAGTTCATAGATTATACAGGAGTATGCTGTGCTTGTGAGACATTCTCCTAGTAAACAGTAAAGCAACAAACTCTTGAGACTAGAGAAATTGGGTAGTTTGTTAGAAAAACTCCTAGAAATTGAAAAGGAAGCTACAATAGATGTTTATGAAAATTATTTTTAGCCTTTGGTCCTGTTACCAACGTGAGTTATGAAGTGTATGAACGTGGGTTGTGAGGAGGGTTGTCATCTTCCAAGACAAAGGAACCACATGAAAGTGTGATCTGTCTTTCAGCCTTTTTGTCCAAATTGAAGTGTGAAGGCCCGATGCTGACCAAGTAAAACCGTAGTTAAACAAAGATTACTCCGTCAGAAAACGGGTCCGATCATGTGTGGTAACAGCCAGACTTACAGATCTGACAGACCGGACATGTCGGACTGTGTATGGGGGGGCTTATCGCTGGTCTTGTTACCATCTTACACCTACCTTTTTGTTCATTATTTGACAACCCAATGAAAAATGGCATCTGGATCGAGTAATGATCTTGCTTTAACAAAACCAGCGACCTTGAGGTTTGAAGGAGAGCACTGCTTTAACCACTACTCATAGATTTAATAAGCAACATGTACTGTAACCAAATGAACATTACTATGGTAAAGGAAATTGACAGGAAAGCAGGTTTAACTTTAAATAAGTACATAGAGACACATATAAAACATCACAAAGTAGAAGTAGAAATTTTTGTGGCCACTGACCACTTTTTCAACCTTCTAAAAAATTTCTACTTCAGGAGGCAGGCTTACCTGTAAATTTCCTTCTGGCAAATGCCCTATCTTTTTATCATATTACTATTGTAAAGAAATTATAAAAATAGGTTATACCCTAACAAGCTATATTTTTATAATATATATTTAAAACAGAAATGAGTAATACCTCACACAAAGCAGCGTCTTCATCAGGACTCCAGTCCAGCCGATCTATCTTATCAACCCAGTGCTTACGAGACGACTCATCCTGCGGCAGGGTGATCATGGTATGGTTCTCTGATGTGTTGGGACAGGCAAGAGCACAGCATGACACCACTTCACTGAAACTAACACAAATTGTTTAAATTTATGCACTTCAATTCAATTAGATTGTAGTCCAAAATATTCAACCCTTAGAAGATTGTATGAATGAATGTCATTACTCTTGACGAGGTACATTTCTTGTACCTACATCATTCTAGAAAAACTGTGTCTTTTTTGTGTCTTCTATCAGAAAACTGAAACAATGTCATAGTTATGAAGATTGAGTCATTCTTGCAGAGATCTGACGATGTTTTAAACAAATCGCAGAGCTCCAAAGGAATTCCAAAATATTTCTTAGGTAGGAAAGTGTTAAAAAAAACTCTCTGAGATCCAAAAATTAATTTCTCTTCAGTCAATAGTTATATGTGATTCATTTAGTATAGAAAAAAAGCTGGTATTTTCACCAGACTTCTACTATGACATAGGCTTAAAACCGTAATGTTTTCTGTAATATTAGCATAGCATAGTGTAAATGGTTTCTCAATCAAAATAATGAACATATTATATCACACAATAAAATAAAATGATGTTACTAAAAGTAAAATGTACGGTATATTGGGGTAGGCTATGTTACTTATTCATACCATTGATGAAAATTGTTATTCATCAGAGCTTAGGACAAGTATAAACTCATAAGAATAAATGAGTTTAAACACTTAAAATCCTGTAGGTTCAAAAACGCTTTAAAAATGTTTCAGAACTCTGACAGAAATTACAAACCGTCCAATATGTCCAAAGGTATTGTGAGCTATGCTATTGCAAATTCAGGCAATTGTAGCTGAGAGAATTACAGTAGCCTATAAGCTATGAGCATCGGAGTAGAAATAATCAAAGCTATGAGAGTGGGATCCACAGGTCAAGCTGTGTGCAGTTGTCAGTTAATCCTCCATCAGTGACACCACAGAGTTTTCCTCAGAGCTTAATTTATTTTTATAGAAACATTTGTGATATCATCACCAGCTGGCAGCTTTAGGAGTAACAGTACCTCACGTGCATCTTTCTAGGAACCGACTGAACATTATTTTGATCCCACACCTCCCCTATTTAATCAGTTAAAGCCCGAAGCGTCACGTAGAACAAAGCCCGGCTCCGTGAGTCACCGATGTTGTTTTTGTTTTGTTTGCTATACATATATTTTTTATAAATAGGTAAAGTAAGAGTTTTCGTTGATTTCATGTAAAATTGTATTAATTATACAATTTGTTTAACATGTTTTTGAATAAATATTGGTAAAAAAAAATTGTTTGTCTCTAATGTTTCAAAACCCAAAAAAAAACCCAGTGTGTCACCGATTGTGTTGTTTTTGTTTGCTAGATATTTTATTTTATAAATATGTAAAGTAAGTGTTTTAATTGCTTTATGTATAACTAGCTGTACCCGCGGGCTTTGCCCCGTTTAACTTCACAAGTGAGCTCGTTCGCATGGCTCCATCACGTCCTGGTTGAAGTTCGTTCGCTACTCTCACTCACCTTTAGGTTGGAGCTCGTTCGCTCCGCTCACTTGCCTTCAGGTTAGCTCGTTCGCTACGCTAACTCGCTTCCAGGTTGAAGTTCGTTCGCTACGCTCACTCACCTTTTGGTTGCATATTGGCTGTAGTCATAAATTTAAAAAAAATAATAGTGCTGCACCCTGTTGGTAATCCTTGTTAACTTTAATGCTATTGAACATCATAGAACAGAACCAGCTTGTTTAATTGAAACAGCTGTTAAGAAATTCCTTTGAAATATGAAAAATCATAAGGTTAACATGGGAAACTCCAGACCCACTGGGGCGGAGCCCGAAAGCCCGATCAGAATAAAAACTACTTAGTTTTCCTATTTAATGCCCAAAGAATCGGTGTACCGAATTTCAGCCTCCTAGGTAAATGGGAAGTGGGAGAATTAGTGATGAGTGAGTGAGTGAGTGAGTCAGTCAGTGAGGGCTTTGCCTTTTATATATTTAGATTTTTAAATAAGTTATTGTAAAAATATATGTTTAAAAATCCATAAAAAAACTCTGTGTGTCACTGATCGTGTTTTGAAATGAGAGACTAAGGGTTAATAAATTATAAGAAAAATTACTTAAATTATAATGTTAACTAGTTTTGTAAAATTATTGTCTTTCCTATTGTAACTGATGTAAAATACCAAAGTAACCATAGTTAATCCAACAAATTACTGCAGCTTGCAAAATATAAAAAAATATTCTAATTGCTTAAAACAGTAGGTAGGTGTTAAAAAGGAAGAACTCAAGACTTGCAAAATGTTTAGCCAACTTTGTATGACTTTTTTCAACTGTCTACACATAATTAAAATGTATGTTATATCAGTAAAAATGATATACTTGAAAGTTTGGTTTATCACAAACCTGCCATGGAGCACACAATTTTATAAATGTTATTTTTTTTCACAATTAATCTATAACCATATGTGCAAACAAACCTTTTATCGAGAGCACCATCAAGCTTTGGTGTTTTTCTCGGTCTTCCTCTTCCTCTCTTTATTGGCAAATCGGTTTTTTTCTCCTCTTCTTCCCACATTTCCGGCTTAAACTCCACCTGAAAGAAAAGTTAATAGTGAAAATACTTTTATCTCCAAGTATCATTTTTTTCAGATTGTAGATCTAGTTCAAATAATATACAGTAGACCCTCTCTAATCCGGCACTCCAGTAATCCGGCGTCTTTTGACGGGAGGTCTTCCGCGATCGCGGCAAAATTCTGATTATCTCCCGCGGCCGTGTAGACATCATAATTCTCTCACGTGGTCATGAAAACGTCATCGTCGTCTTGCGCGATCGCGGCAAAATCATTAACATCTCTCGCGGTCACGGAAAAGTCATCGCCATACCAACAAACACAGAAACACTGACTGGCTAATGGACGCAAAACACATCAGAAACCTGTATCCGAAACTGTGTTGACAAACTGTCGGCCGACTCAGTATCCTTGTGTAGACTAGGCTTCGTGCAGCAAAGTGCCATTTCACACAAATAACTATTTCCATTTCAATGAGAATAACTTACCTATTTAAAAAAAAATGCCTAGCCCAATACAAATATTTTCATCACATTATACCTCTTCAAAGTATTGATCATGGAATTAACGCTACCATTTAGTTTTCTTAAAGGTAGGCCTAAATAACTAAGAGACACAGGATGAATAATGTCAAACAATGATAAAAAATCGGTCAAAGTTTTATTAATTAGGCTAAAATCTATTTAACTTACATAAATGTTAGCAACTAATTTTACATTTCCTTATTATTGACAATAAAGTAAGGTGCCATTGAGAAATATAATTATGTCATTCTTTCAATTATTGTTTTACATTTTGTCATACCACACGATAGTATTTATTTAAAAATGTGCCACCAAATAAATTATTTATTTTGATCTCTTAGTTTATAGCCTCCTAAATCCAAAAATAATTATTTTTCACCAGTCACCACTGATGAATACAATTACCTTTGACTATCAATACAACTATCTTTTTAACAAAGTCAAACTTAGTTAATGACTTATGAAATGAGTTAAATAAAGTACCTGTTATGACGTTATGACCCATAAACCTGGTCAGTAACCTAAAAACGTGTTGTATAGTGTTTGAAAGACTAATTATTTATCTGCTTTATAGTGACTGTAGGAAAAATATAATGCGTAACACGAGCGCAAATTGCCTTTGCTGCACTCGAGATTCATTCCGCACAAGCTGCAGGCGAGTGCGGGTAAACATTTCTCTCGTGTGCAGCAAAAATAAAATGTCACTTTGACACTAGTTACACAAATGACAAATAACTATAGTTCTTACACAGAATGAAACAACAAGATAAGAAAAAATACCCGTCAGCAGTCAGCACCACCACTTCCACACAATACAATCCCGCTAGTCGTGACTTCCGACTTATCCCTCCAGTTTGCTTTTAAAATTCATCCTTTGCTTTAAAAGTATGCATTGGTTAGTACATTATCAAAACACGCTAGTAAGTTGTATGTATGGAAATATTTGGTCAATTCAAATTAGCAATTCTTGTATACCAACAACACATCAAAAATATCCCAGATTTTGGGGAAATCCCTCAAGCGGCAGGTGGCTGCAACACTGCACGAGATAGTCGTCCCTCATTGTTGCCATTGCCACCCACTCCCCTCCCCTACACTCCACAAAGTCACACAATTACCAAGTCAACACAAGAAGATGAAAATAATTGTTTATTTACAATGTGTGTATCGATATATGCAGTAACAAAATAAACATCATACATTTTCGGGAAATCTAAAGAGAGATGCGTTTTCAAAGATTAAACTAAGCCGTAAGCATATACAAAATATAAAGTAACAGATTTCAGCTTTTAATATATGACTGGAGAACAGTACATACTTGATAGTTAAAATACACCATAAAGATCCTACATAGTTTTAAAAATAAGATTTTACTGAATATGCCTGACCTTCATAATCGTCGGGACTTTGGAACCCTTCGGTTGTTTATGGACGGGTTTTTTGTGAGATCGGTTCCGTTCGTAGATAGGCTTCATCTTATGGGTGCTGGGGTCCTTCTCGAAGATACAAGGTACCGCGCCACTCTTCAACTTCGTCGTCCGTCGACCCCACAGTATCGCCTGGGCTCCACCACCCTCTAAATACTTTGGCTCTGGCTTGCGGCACAGCTGGTCTTCGCGGAAGTGTTTAATGCATACGTGCGAGTACGGAGAAGGCTCGAACCCGGGACGACATATCGCCTTGTTCCACGCCTGGACCATCTCCGGGTCACTAGCGTACCGCATCATGGGGACGGACTGGGTACCCTTGACGTGGTAGTAGTTGCTACGGCAACCGGGGACGACGCACTTGTATGGCATTGTGAAAGGTAGTAGACCGTAAAATATTCGTAGTGTGATAACACTGAACAACTGAAGTTGTGAGTTTAGTAGGCCTATCACAATTGAAACAAGTCGCTAAAAAACATGTATCTATTTAGACTTATGAAAAACATGTGAAATGAATATGACGTTATTTTTCTATGGCCTACTATAACTTTAGAGCATTTTATTTTTGTGATTTATCTGCAATTAATCAGCAAAGTATTTTTGATACGGTCTCTAGTCCGGTAAACTGTGCATTAAACAGAATCAGGCCTAATTGTATTCTCAGTCAATTAATAACAGTTCTTAGGCTACATTCCTCGGGGGAAAATTACTTGATTTGAAACTACAAGAAAGCTAAGAAAAGGAAGTCCCCATTTCCAATGCTTAAGTTGGACTTTATCGACTAGCGAGGACGGACTACTTCCATACAGTCATGGCCACCAACGATCACTGCGCGCACTACTAGCAAGATGGAGGGGATACAGTCGCAGTCGCACTACACAAACAATAACACTTTCGAAACAGTAACACTACGCTGGAATACTAAATATACTCGATGATAACACGAAGTATAATTCTCTCGATTCTCCTAACGAACTAAAATTGTGACTCTGACTCGAGAGTCGAGACCCGGACAAAGAAGGGAGAGGGTAACATTTCGCGCCGTCGCAGGAACACGGTTCGATGGCGGCTAGCGACGAAATGGAGGGGAAATGCCCGCCACCCCACCATGTGTTGTATGCTCTCTCCCTCGCTCTCACATCACCGGCATCTAGTCCTCTCTCTCGCACCTTTCTAGACATTTCAAAGCGGCGCCGCTGCCTACGATGCGACTAACTAAACTATACAGTCAGCAGTGGAGACGGAAATAACCGACTCCCACCCCTGCTATGCAGTCAGCTCAGCTGTGGCGTCGACTGGTAGGACTGAAACGGTTTTATCTAGATTTTGGCTTGGACAAAGCAATGTTATTCATCATGTAAATTGATATTTTTGCAACTAGTCAGCAAAGTGAGCAATTGACTCACTCTAGAGAAATACTTACCCACGAGCCGTAGGCCGTAGGCGAGTGAGGAATGGTTTCTCGAGTGAGGAAATTGCAATTTGCACTCGAGTTGCACATTCAGGGCCGAACTTACCTAGGGGCGGACGGGGCGAGCGCCCGGGGCCCGTGGACCTAGGGGGCCCTGAAAGGCCCCCCTGTTGTCTCACTCATGTTAACATTGTCTCACTGACGAGCGAATTGGCCACTTTGCTTTCTCAAATCAGTGAGAGAACATGTACATTGTTAAGTAACTGTAGGAAAAATACATTACTCGCGAGAATTAAATGTGACTTTCATAAAGAGTATTTGAATTTCTCACTACGACAAATATCGTACTACGGGAAATATTGTGTAAGGGAAGGGTATAACAACACAATAAAATTTTCAGATTTATTTGTTATTGTGAAATATTTGTGAACATGAGAATATGTTAATATATATGTGTGTGAGAATATGTTAATAATTATAGTAATCTGATCAGTCATATTATACTTAAAATATTGAATGAACCCATAAGTACATAACAATGTTTGTCTGATAAATGGAATGAAAATTAAATACAAAGTTTATTATTTTGAAATACAACTTGAGTATACAGATTATAAGATTTGTTTGTATATTCCTAGTAAAAATTAATTTCCCTGCTGACAAACAGTGGATACAAAAATACTTGATATATATAATTAATTTTAAAACTCGATACACAAAAACACGATTAACAAATTCAACATGACAGAAAATTATGGGCATAGCAGAGTTGTTAAGTCAAATATATTGCTGGTCATGTGTAATTGAAAAATCAATACTTTATATTGTTCGATATACAAATCGTAGTTCAAGCTACAGCACTAATACTAATACTCTACAATGAAACAACGTTCAACTCTATAATGACGCCTCGGGAGATGCCTTGTCAAGTTTATTGAAAAATTGCAAGTTTAGGCGGAAATACATGGGAAAATGTTTTTAAAGATCATTGGGAGAGGGGGGCCCGGCGAACAAACTTGCGGGGGGGGCCGCGGGTTCTTATCGCCGCCACTGCCGCCCTGTTTGAGAAAAAGTTGAAGGCCAACCCAGGAAGTCTCCGAAATGGCCTAAAACGACATCTCTGTGCTTATTCCATTCACTACGAGACCATGTGTAGCTAATCTAATTACCCCAATATCTCTACACAAATGTTGTCCACTAAAAATTGTAGGTAATAATGATGAAGCTCGATGGAGAATGTCAATAACAATATGAAACTAACCCTGATGAGCCCAATTTCGTGAATACCTCTGCAAACGCCACCTAGTTATTTTTATTTTCATTACTACTTTTCATGTCCCCTATGTTTCGTACCAAAATTATGTTCTATAAGCTTGAGCCAAGAATAGCCATAGGAAAACCGATCTACATAAATATATTTTAGTGTTGTTATGAAGAACAATGTTGATCATCATGTATATACTAAAAAAAGCTCTTTAATCAATAGGCATTTTCCAGAACTGTATGAATTAAATATAGTCTACTATTTTGGTCTTAGTCAATAACAAGAAGATCGCGCCACTCATACCTCACTCATATTTAGGTTAAATACGCACATACTGGCGCCCCCATCTTACATAATTGATAGTGATTGTTTGATAAATATATTGGGATATTGGAAT